GAGCTTAGATAATGTTCTTCCCTTTCTACCCTTGGTCAGGGTGATGCAATCCCTTCTCCACCCAACCTTTCCTCTCCCTGGCCTGGGTCTGGTGGGTGGGGGCCCACTCAGCTTGGGTTTGGGGGTTATAGAAACCCTGAGGATGTCCCCTCAGAGCCCTGTGCCCAGCTTCTCACCCCCTTAAGTCTTCCTCCTCCTCCTCCCAGGGTGATTGAATGCCAAGTCTATCTCTGACCAAGGTCTAAGTCTTTCACCTACCTGCCCTAGTCATTTACTTTTGTTTTTGTTTTTGTTTGTTTTTGGGTTTTTTTTAGGCAATTGGGGTTAAGTGACTTGTCCAGGGTCACACAGCTAGTAAGTGTCAAGTGTTTTGGTCTGAGGCCAGATTTGAACTCAGGTACTCCTGACTTCAGGGCTAGTGCTCTATCCACTGCACCACCTAGCTGCCCCCCCTGGTCATTTACAAAGCCCAGATCTGTTCCCTTCCCTTCCTGGGCCAAGCTGCTGCCTTCCAGATCTTCCAGCTCTCCCAAGCCTCTCCTTGCCTCTCTTCCCTCTCATTTCCTTCTGTTTCTGCCCTTTGGGGCCACAATGCTGAAAATTGGTTTTGCTTTTAACTACGAAGAGATCTTTTTCTTTTTGGTTTAAAAAAATTTAAGCAATTTCTCTTCCTGGTGTTTCCCCAAGGAATAGTGAAGGGAGGCCTGGAAAGAAGCCTGCAGGATCCTACGCTGGATTTGAGTTCCTGAGGTTTCAGTTGGCATCCGGGTCTGGGAGCATCAGGCCATTTCCAGGGCCAGGGGCATTCCTACAGTAGCCAGAGAGCCCTTGGGTGGCAACTGGGACATGGTTCTGCCACTTACACTTGTTAGCTGTGTGCTCTTCCTTTCTCTAGGCCTCAGTTTCTTCATCTGAGAAAAGGGCAGACTGAGATGGATAATTGCTAAGGGCCATCCCCGAACCTAGAATCTCCAGAACCTAGTGACATTCTAGAATCCCAATGGGCTGAGCCTTAGGAATCATCATCTTAGGAGTCATTCTACCCCTGCCTGAAGTCTACAGAATCCCCAATAACATCCAGTTTCTCTTTGGATAACTTCAGTCATGCGGAACTCACTACCTCCAAGGCAGCCCACCTGTTTCTGGCCAGCTCTTATCACTAGGACCAGAACCCAGTCTGCTATCTAGCAAGTCATTGGTGTTTTTACTAAACGATGCTGCTTTGGAGAGCAGAGAAGAGGGGATTGGGGACCTCTTTTTTTCTTTCTCCTCTTTGGCCTTATGATATGTGGGGGGGTCATAGACAGGAAGCACTGTGGTTCAATGGGAAGATTTTTTGTCAGAGTATGTGGGTTCAAATCCGGGGTCTGCCATTTACTACCTATGTGAACTTGGACAATCCCTCAACAAGCATTTATTAAGCACTTATTGTATGCTAAGACACCATGCTAAGTTCTGGGGATAGAAAGAAAGAGCCCAAACCAGCCCCTGGCCTCAAGGAGCTTACATTACAGTAGGAGAGAGAAGATGTTTATAAACAGGTCCATAGAAGATACACACAGAGTAGGTGGATGGTAACCTTGGAAGGGAAGGCACTGGGGGGACCGGGAAAGTTCGTGCTTGAGCTTGAAGAAAGCCAGGGACTTTTGACAGGCACAGGTGAGAAAGGAGAGGGCAAATGGTATTATGCATGAGGAGCATCAGGTAGGTCAGGACAGCCAGACTGGCCAGTGTAGGGAGGAGAGTCAGGAGGACCTGAGTTCAAATCCAGCCTCAGACACATAACACTCACTAGCTGTGTGACTCTGGGCAAGGCACTTAGTCCCAAATGCCTCACAAAACAAACAAAAAAAAAACCACAATAAAATGGTAGAAAGATAGGAAGGGCACAGGCTGTGGAGCCCTTTAAATGCCAAACTAAGTATATTTGATCCTGGAGGAATAGGGAACCAGTGCAGTTTACTGAGGAGGGGAGTACTAAGTAGGTCTGACATGATCAGAAAATTTGGCAGCTGAGGAGAGGAAAGATTGAAGTGAGGAGAGACTGGAGGCAGAGCAACCAATTAGAAGGATGCTGCAATAGTCCAGGTGAGAGGTCATGAGGGTCTGAAGCAGGGTGGTGGTCGTGTGAGTGAAGGGAGGGGAGATACGTTATATAGATATATGTTATATGAGCATCTAGATGGTGCAGTGGATAAAGTACTGGGCCCGGAGTCAAGAAGACTCATTTTCCTGAGTTCAAATCCAGTCTCAGACACTTAGCTGTGTGACCCCGGGCAAGTCACTTAAGCCTGTTTGCCTCAGTTTCCTCATCTGTCAAATGAACAGAGAGGGAAATGGCAAACCACTCCTGTATCTCTGCTAAGAAAACCCCAAATGAGGTCATGAAAAGTCAGATATAACTGAAAAACGACTGAACAAACATATATGTTAGATAGGAGAGAGGTCAAGATTTGGCAACTGATTTGATATGTGGGGTGACTGAGAGCAAGGAACTGAGGATGATCTCCAGGTTGTGTGCCTGGTGACGGGGAGCACGGTGAGACACTTGATGGGGAGAGGAAAGTTTGGAAGGAAAATCCGGAAGAGAGTTTGGTTTGGGAGGAAAGGCAACGAGTTCCATTTTGGATAGATTGAGTTTGAGATGCCTATAGACCTTCCAGATGGAACTATCCAATAAGCAGTTTATGATTCAAGACTGGAGAGAGATTATGTCTAGATATATAGATCTCAGAATCATCTGCATGGAAATACAAATTGAACTCATGGGAGCTGATGACATCACCAAATGAGAGGAAGAAGCGAATAGAGCCTAGGACAAAGCCATCTCCCAATACCTGTGACTTCCAAGACCGAAACATTCCTTCAGGGTCACTACTCTCAATGTGAGAAGAGACAGCCCAGCAGAATGCTTTGGAGGATACTCACAGTCAGTTGTTTGTAACATAGATGGAAATCCGGCCAAGGAGACTGAGAAGGAGTGGTCATACAAGTGGGAGGAGAACCGAGAGAGAACAGGCTTGAAAACCCAGAGAGGAGAGAGTATTCAGGAGGCCAAGCCAATTAACCAACATGGCCCTCAGCTTCCTAATCTATGAAATGAAAAAACGAGCAAGAAACTGCCTCTAAGCTCCCTTCTAACTCCCTTTGTGCTCCTGTGATCCCCTGCTGGGCTCTAGCCTTCCTTTCCACCACTGTCCACTGTTTCCCAGGGCCTGGCTCCTTCCTTGGGGTTATTGCCCACCTTCTAGACCCAGGCAGAGCTCAGCTTACCCCCTTCTTCTGCAGGAGACTCCCACTCTGCCCCCTTCCCAACCACACGCTCAGGACTGGGTGGCCCTATTCTCCCCTCCCCCCCAGAGCTGAGACAAGGGAATTATTTTTGGAACAAGAGTAGTTACACAACACATGAATTATTTATCGTTCGGCATGGAGAGGAGATGGCGTTTTGTTCTTAGGGCCTCTCGTCTGTTTTTCTTGAGTGGTGTGTGCTCATGGAGGTAAATCCCTGCGTACTTGTGGATATAGACCACCTGGGTGACCTTAGACAAACCACTGAGACTCTCCGGGCCTCAGTGCCCTCATCTGTAAAATGGAGGGTGTGTGAACAGATGCTCCCTGAGGTGGTCTTATGCATGTCTGCCTGTGTTTGCACACACCCATGACAAGTACTCATATGTACATACAGGTAGGTATACAGGTGCCGGGAACTGAGCCTGTCTGTGGTGGGGGTCGGGGTGGGATTGACTGTTGTGAAGATTTAGAGACATAGGACCTGGGTTTAAATCCTGGCTTTCTACCTGTGTGACCTTAGGCAAATCACTTAACCACTCTGGGCTTCAATGTCTCCAACCCAGGAGGCTGGACTAGATTGTGCTCAGTTTAGCATCGGAGGACCTGGGTTCCAATTCCATCTCTGACACTTGGTACCTATTCGATCTTGGACAAGTCACTTCACTTGGAGAGCCTCACTTTCCTCACTTGTAAAATGAAGGGGTCGGATAAGATGGCTCCAATGGTTCCAGCTCTAAATGTCTGATTCTAAAAGATCCCAGGTGATGTCTAAGGTTCTTTCTAGCTAGTTTTCCTATGATCCTTTGGGTTCTGCTGAGATTTCTGATTTCTTCTCTGCACTGTTCTAGACTCCCCCCCCCCAGTATTTCTTCTTTCCCTCTCCTGCCTCTCCTTCCCCTCCCACTGTCTCCTCTTCCACCCACCAGGCTGTCCTTCCTTTATGTAACAGGTACCCAGAGTCCTTGCTGAAGCAGGAAGCCCCCTTTTGGTGACTGCTCGGGGGACCTTGTCTTGGATTCGAGTTGCCGTTGTCCCTTTCCCCCAGTGCTTGTTCCTCTATCCCCCTGCCTCAACCAGAGGTTTGCCTCTGGTTGTTCCTCATGGAGCCATCTCTGTCTCCTCTGCTTCCCTTCCAGGCTCTGGGTGACAGATGGATCTCCAGCTCCGTGTGTCTCTCACCATGCCTCTGTCTAGCTGCCTGTCTGCATCTTCCCTTCTTGCCTGTGCTCTGAAGCTCTGAGAAACTTCTAAGGGGCCCAGACCTGAGCAAAGGGGAAGAAGAGGAAGAAGGAGAAGGAGAAGAAGGAGAAGGAGAAGACAGACTTCCTCCTGACTGCCCAGGACCCTGCTCTTCCTGGGCAGGGATTAAGGGAAGAGGGCAGAGCTGGGGGTGCTGCAGAAAAGACCACTCCTCAGAGCTGCAGAAAGAGCCAGCTGCCCCAGAGACGCGTCCACAGCCTGGTCCCCTTTCTGCCGGGATCCCCGACACTGGACAGCAGGCAAAGTGGACCAGAGCTCGGGAGCCCCATCTCGCACCCCAGCACTGGGGGGGCATCCCTCAAAATGCTGGTGGCCCCGGCGAGAACTGGGATGATGGGCCAGGCTTTTGGCCGCTAGGCCTTCCCGGATCCCTGCCGTCTCCGAGCCCCGCCTTGCCCGTGGCCTCCCTCTATCCAGCCCTCCTGCCCAGTGGGCCTCCCCCTGCCATGCTGCGCCTGGGCCTGTGGGCAGCAGCCCTGCTCTGCGCCTGCCAGCCGGACCTAGTGCAGGCCGACTGCTGGCTCATAGAGGGCGACAAGGGTTACGTGTGGCTGGCCATCTGCAGCCAGAACCAGCCTCCCTACGAGACCATCCCTCAGCACATCAACAGCACCGTGCACGACCTCCGTCTCAATGAGAACAAACTCAAGGTGGTCCTCTACTCCTCCCTCAACCGCTTCGGCAACCTGACCGACCTCAACCTGACCAAGAACGAGATCTCTTACATCGAGGACGGCGCCTTCCTGGGCCAGGCCAACCTCCAGGTGCTGCAGCTCGGTTACAACAAGCTGAGCAACCTGACGGAGGGCATGCTCCGCGGCATGAGCCGCCTGCAGTTTCTCTTCGTCCAGCACAACCTCATCGAAGTGGTGACGCCCACGGCGTTCTCCGAGTGCCCGGCGCTGATCAGCATCGACCTGTCCTCCAATCGCCTCAGCCGCCTGGAGAGCACCACGTTCGTGGGGCTGAGCAGCCTCATGGTGTGCGAGCTGGCGGGCAACCCCTTCAACTGTGACTGCGGCCTCTACGGCTTCCTCAACTGGCTCGTGGTCTTCAACAACGTGACCAAGAACTACGACCGTCTGCAGTGCGAGTCCCCGCGGGAGTTCGCTGGCTACCCGCTGCTGGTGCCGCGGCCTCACCACAGCCGCAACGCCATCACCGTCTTCCAGTCCATGTGCCGCGATGGCACCTTGCCGTCCAGGCCCGTCAGCCACCCCACTCCATACACCACCGACTCCCAGAAGGACCCAGATGAGAACTCTGGGTTCAACCCTGTGGATTTCCTGTCCGTGGAGCCCCCGGCCTCCTCCACCACAGACTCCTCCATCAGCCCCACCATCAAGCTCCACTACGTCACGTTCACTTCAGCCACCCTGGTGGTGACCATCCCTTCCCCCTTCAGCAAGCTCTACGTTCTGGTCCAATATAACAACAGCTACGTCTCCGACGTCATGACTCTGAAGAACAAAAAGGAGATTGTCACCCTCAATAAGCTCAAAGTCCACACTGACTACACCTTCTGCGTGGCCTCCATCCGCAACTCTCGCCGTTTCAACCACACCTGCCTGACCTTCGCCACCCGGGAGCCCATCCAGGGGGACGTGCCCCCCAGCACGTCCACCACTACGCACTATATCATGACCATCCTCGGCTGCCTCTTCGGCATGGTGATTGTCCTGGGGGCTGTCTACTATTGCCTGCGCAAGCGGCGCATGCAGGAGGAGAAGCAGAAGTCAATCAGCGTGAAGAAGACGATCCTGGAGATGCGCTATGGATCAGACGTGGACACCAGCTCCATCGTCCACTCTGCCCAGAAGCTGGGGGAGCCACCGGTCCTCCCCGTCTCCCGCATGTCCTCCATCCCCTCCATGATTGGGGAGAAGCTACCACAGCCCAAGGGCCTGGAGGCTGGCATCGACACACCCAAGGTGACCACCAAGGGCAACTACATGGAGGTGCGGACGGGGGGGCAGCGGCGGCGGCGGGGACGTCCTGACCCGGGGTGAGGATGACCTGCCAGACTTGGATAATGGCCAGGGTTCGGCAGCAGAGATCTCCACCATTGCCAAGGAGGTCGATAAAGTCAACCAGATTATCAATAACTGCATTGACGCCCTCAAGCTGGACACGGCCTCCTTTCTGGGAGGAAGCGGAGCAGACCCGGAGCTGGCTTTTGAGTGCCAGTCTATCCCGACCAGCTCCACGGGTGGGCTGGAGCGGCCCAGCTTCCTCTCACCTCCCTACAAAGAAAGCTCCCACCACCCCCTGCAGCGGCAGCTGAGCGCTGATGCTGCTGTGGCCCGGAAGACCTGCAGCGTCTCCTCCAGCGGCTCCATCAAGAGCGCCAAGGTCTTCAGCCTGGACGTCCCTGATCACCCAGCACCCCCGGGGCTGGCCAAGGGTGACTCGAAGTACATTGAGAAGGGCAGTCCACTCAACAGCCCCCTGGACCGTCTTCCCTTGGTGTCTCCTGGTGCCATCCATCACCTGGAGGTGAAGCCTTCCTACCACTGCAGTGAGCACCGACACTCTTTCCCAGCCTTGTACTACGAGGAGAGCGCGGACACCTTGAGCCAGAGGGTGTCCTTCCTCAAGCCCCTGTCCCGCTCCAAGCGGGACTCCACGTACTCTCAGCTCTCCCCCAGACACTACTTTTCGGGCTACTCCTCCAGCCCTGAGTATTCGTCCGAGAGTACCCACAAGATCTGGGAGCGCTTCCGGCCCTACAAGAAGCATCACCGGGAGGAAGTGTACATGGCGGCTGGCCATGCCCTGCGCAAGAAGGTCCAGTTCGCTAAGGATGAGGACCTGCACGACATCCTGGATTACTGGAAGGGGGTCTCAGCTCAGCAGAAGCTGTGACCCTCTCCTTCCTCCCCGCCCCCGGTGAGGTGGGGATGGAAAGAGGGACCAGGCTGGGGAGGGGGCAGGCTGGGGAGGGACACCGAGGCGGGGGGGGCGGGGGGGCGGGGGGGGGGGGGTACGGGGTAGGAGGAGGCCAAGGAATGGATACACACACACACACCCGCACGCACGCACCCAATGCACACACCTGACCACCACCTGACTGTGAAAAACAAAAACAAAAACAAAAACCTGACGTAAATGGACAGAAAAACACAATTTTTAAAGTTTACAAACGGATACCGTAACCAGTTCTCTACTGTGCTGCCCCGGGGGCGGGGAGACCCATTCCTCCTAGATGTTTCTCCCACGATTGGAGAGGTCCAGGGCTGGGGAGGGAAAGGTTGAGGGAAGAAGGGAAATTCAGGAGGCGGCCAGATGTATGCAGGGGTCTGGGAGACTTCCAAAGGGAAGACAGAGAAGTCTAGGGATTAGGGCCACGAACAGGAACACAGATCTTGAGCCTTCTTTATGGTCCTTGACTTTGGAGGCTGAGGGTTGGGAGTCCAGGGTGGGGGGGGAGGGAACCACTTCAGTCTCAAGAGGAGGGTGGGTCAGTTTCCCCCTCTCTCAACCTCCACCTCCCTACTCCAAAGGACACTGGGGATACAGGATTTACATTGGAAGTAGCTTCTCCTTAATCTCCCAGATGGGAACTCTGCATCTCCTAGGATCCCTCTGGTTCAAGGCCTCTTCCCCAAAGCCCCGTTGCTTTGGTTCATTTGGTTTCTGGGAGGCTCTCCTGAAAGGGGGTTCCCTGCTGGCACCCTCTCCAAGCTCCAATTTCAGGGCCAGTATCCAAGAAGGGGATGATGACCCCAGCTGTTAGGGGCCCTCCCTTTCCCCATCCTCCAGGGCTCTGTTCATTTTAGTGAAGCCAGCAGGGTTGGCTTTCACTCCTTGGGAGCATATGGGAATGGGGAGTGGTGACCCTGTCAGAAAATTCTAAGTGTCTTCCAGGTAATGAGCAGGGAGTGAGGTGTAGGGTGGGGAGAGAATGATCCTGGAACTGAAGGAATAGGGGATTACAGACAGCAGAGTGGTGGGAGCGAATGAGGGGCTCCCAGTGTATCTCAGGTGCATCGGCCCTCCCCCCCAGGTTTTGGGAGATGGGGGTGGCCCCTCCTTCCCCCACCCCACTGTGCCAGCCTCCTGAATGCTTCTGTGCCTCTCCCCAGCCTGTCTTCCTGCCCTTACCCCCACCCTGAGAGAGGATGCTACAGAGACGTGGGTGTATGTATGTGTGAGTGTGTGAATGACTGGCCAATTGCTGAAGAACCACAAGGATGATGAGCTGTGTGGATGTCCCACCCTCTTTGTCACCTTCCTATATGCTCCCAGACCCTATTATGCCTCCTCCCCCTCTTCCATTCTTCTGTAAGAATGTGGGATACCAAGGACCTGGGACAGAAGGAAGCAAGTCAAAGACCCAGTATCTGATCCTGGCCTCTGAATGGAAAAGAGGTTCCCACCCCCACCCCCCACATCTAACCCCACCCCACCTCTCATCCTTCTTAAATCTAAGCTACATTCATTGCTTCTACCTGTAGGGATGGGGTGGGGGGGAACCAGGTTTCCATGGGAATGTCAAGTCTCTCTCCCCCTTCTTTTTCCTCTTCCCTCCAATGGACACCCAGACAAAGCACAAACAGCTCCTGGGGTGTGAATGGGGGAAACAAACAGTTTCTGTGACTGCCCCCCATCTCTTGGACTCTATCCCCACTCTGGCCAGCTGTGGTCACCATGACAACCCCCTTCCAGGCAGCCAGCAAAAGAGAGAGCTATGGTCCCTGGGGAGTAGGTGGGGGGGAGGTTGTTGGAGACACAGCTTGTGGGAGTTACAGAAGAAAGCAGAGTGAAGGCAGGTGGGATAGGGAGGCCGAGCTGGAGGAGCGGTGCCAGGAAGAAAGGGGCAACAAAGAGGGGCTCTAGACAGTGTTTCAAGAGAATTTCTGGGGGCTTCCTGGGAGATTCCGGCTAAGCTCCTGGCTCTTACTTCCTCACACCTCAGTGGAATTGGGGGTCACCCAGTTTCTTTCTACCTATTGCCTGTCCAGCTCTCTTAGGTGTGTTTGGGGCAGGGGAGTGGGTTGTAAGACCAGAAGCCTTGGCTGTGTGGACTTCAACTCTCCGCCTTCTGTCTCAGGACCAGAGATAGTAAGATGAGTTCCATTCTTCCTTCCCCTTCCTCCTCCCTTCACCAGCTGGGCCCAAGGCCACTATGGTCTCCCTGGGCATTAGGCCACTTTCAGCTCTGAACTTATGATCCTAGGATCCTTCCATTTCCCTTCCAGTCATACAGCCTGGATTCTTAGGGTCAGAGGAACCTGGGGGAGTTGAGGGGTTGGGGGTCTGTGGACAGTGTCCCAGAAAGCCAAGGGTTCAAGAAGGTGCTGGGACCTCAGAGAGGGGATGTTTCCCTTGGGTTCACATGCTCTCCCTGTTGGGGGGGGGGTCATAGTAGGTTGGGGAGGGCACAAGAAGTCACTGTCTCCCCCCTCCCCAGTTCTGGAGGACAGACTTTTTTTGGGGGGTGGTTACTTGCACAGAAAGGACTTTCAGAGTGAGAGATGAGAAGAGAAAAAGGAATGGATGGGTAGGGTGGAGAGGGAGAGACTGGCCTGCCCTCTCCCCCGCCCCACCTCCCAACCCACTTCTTCTCTCCTTTCCACTCCCTCCCCAGGCCTGTTTTGAGAACCCAAGAAAACTGAGTCGGGGAGAAGCCACTGATGTCAGAAACAGAATTCCTGTTCTATTTGTGCATGACGCTCTTCACTGTATTTTTCTGAGCAAACATCTGTTGTGAATGTGCCCGTTTGTCGAGATTCCCCTCTTCCTCTCCTCTCCTCTCCTCTCCTCTCTTCTCCCCGCCCGCCCCCTGCCTCCCTCCTCAGATGCCCTCCATTGTGAATTGATGAGCAACTTTTAAAACCCGGGAAGGAACTGTCTCTGCAGAGGACCCAAACTTGGTGCTGCCGGTAGGCCAGCCCTGCTTTTCCCCACCTCAGCAGCGGCAGCGGTGGTCTCACAAGTGGCCCCTGCTCTCCCCCTCCCCTCTCCTCTCCTCTTACAGCGGGTGCTGGAGCTGTCCAGGCAGAGGTGCTGAGAGGGACTGTGCCTCGTGTGGATTACCAATAGGGACTCCTAGATGGCACCATTCCTGGGGTGGCTGCAGTTTGTCTCACGGCAGGGGGAGGGACATGAGGTGGTTTCGATTCAGTTCAAGTCAATTCAACAAACATTAAGCGCCTACTATGTGCCAGGCACTGTGTTAGGATCCCAGGGGCTTAGAACCAAAAGGGATCTTAGAGAACATCTGGGCTAATCTTAGTTTAAAGGGAAAGGAAACTGAGACCCAGAGAGGACAAGGGACTTACTCTGGAGTCACAAATGTAAGGCAATGGTAGTGCTGGGATTTGAATCCAGGTCCTGTGGTCCTTTAAATCTAGGCTGCTGTTAGGGGTTCACTATGGAGCTTCCTGTTGAATGGAAGCATTATGGCTTTCCTGGGGGTGGGGTAGGGGAAGGCAGCATTCCCTTTCTGGTTGGTACCCTCAATCTTCTCCCTGGTGAATATGTTTTTTTTTTTTTTTCCTGTTGAAGATGGTCTCTGGGGAGCTGACCATTTCTAGAATGAGACAGCAGTTAGTTGGGTATGGTAGGTAGATTTGGAGTAGGAAGACCTAAGTTCAAATTCTGCCTCAGCTACTTGACTTCCTGGGTGACCAGGGGTAGGTCAATATCCTCTGGCCTCAGTTTCCCCAGGCAGAGTGTAACAATGGAAGGAATGCTGAATTTGGAGTTGGGGGATCTGAGTTTAAATCCTGACTCTGACATTTATTGCAATGTGACCTTAGGGAAATTGCTTAACGTTTCTGGGCCTTAGTTTTCTTTAAAACGAGGGGACTGGACTAGGTGATCTTGAAGGTTTCCTTCTAGCTAGGAGCCTATATAAGCTGCAGAATGAAGGAATCAGACTTGGCGTCTTCTCAGGTCCATTCCGGCTCAAGATGCCCTGTTCCTAACACCAGTTTCTCCATGGAGATGAGAGACGGGAAGAACCAGAGCTGCTTCTCCCTCAAGCCCTCAGGAAGAGCTTTGGGTCCCTGCCCATCTTGGCACCAACACTTTTCTGGGTTCCCAGCAACCATGGGTGGGTGGGGCCCCGATTGTGGAAGCTGCACTGCAGTCCCTTCCAGCATCCATCAGTGTGTGTCCTGGCCGGCCCTGGATAATTCCTCCTGAGGCAGGGAGTGAAATATTCATGAATGACAAATGGAAATTTATGTCAAGGAATCTTGGCTGGGGCCCCCTCCAGTCCCTGTGTTTGCAATGCTAATCAGCTCCGGAGCCTTCTTCCCAGCTGGAACTATACAGACCAGGCCAGTGCGGGAGGAGGGGGGAGCTTGCAAGCCTAGGAGAGAATCCTGGATCTGGATTTGGATTGGGATTCACAGCTGGAAATCACCTAATCCAAATCTCCCATTTTAGAGGTGGGGAAACCCAAGGCCCATAGAGATTAAGTGACATGTCCAAGGTCACTCAGCTGGTAAGCGGCAGGGTTGAGATTTGTACCCAGGTGCCTCAGACTCCTCAATTCAGGGTTCTTTCCTTTGACTAGCTGATATCTGGTTACTTCCAGCCTTATGTCTATAATTTTAGAAAAGGATTTCCAGCTTCTGGTTTTCTTGGAGAGAGCAAGTAGGTTTTGGGTCATGGAGAGAAGAGGCAAGATGACAAGGGTGGGGTTGGGAGAAGGGGACAGTGAGACCAGGGGTCAAGAGTCTGCCCTTTGTCCGAACAAACTCATTTCCTTGACTTCTTCAAGCAGGTGTGTTTGGAGGGGATCTGCTGGGGCCAGTCTCTGGATAGCTGGAGCTCTGAGAGGCTGAGACTAAGGGCCTTCTGAGGATGAATGAGTACAGGTGTGAAGATAACTAGGGAAATAGCATGGTACA